AAACCTATTTTTTATTGAACATAAAAAAATTGCTGGTCTTCTGCCTATACGCTTCATACTTCTATTTATAACATACCTCCAGGGAATTTTACAATATGCTTCACGAGGATGGATGATTTAGTTGCTTTTTTTGTAATCTTGATTTTCTAACGAATATACTAAACAATTGCTCATTAAACAGGATTGTCCTTGGGCGCTGCAATTTCACGTTAGTTCTTGTCACCATACAAGCATTATATTTCTTCTACTCCTTCATTCTCTTCAGGTCGGTAGCGGTGCCATGGATGACCTGCAACGCGTTACTCGATCTGCTTACACCCAGATCGTTCAGCTAGGCTTTAGTCCGCGTGTTGGCCAACTTAGTTTTGACTTGCCCCAACGCGGTGATTTAACTATCCAGAAACCCTACTCCGAAAAGACAGCTCAGATTATCGATGAGGAGGTGCGTGATATGGTAGACCGGGCCTATCAGCGCACTCTTAAACTTGTGGAGGGGAAACGGGAGTTTGTTGAAAAGGTTAGCTAAATAAATTATTTGCATAACTGTTTATTTACACATTCTCCCATTTTGAGGTATGTAGATACAAACAAAATTGGCTTGTTTCTATAAACTCACAATATAATATCCCATGCTAGTATGTTTCTCAACTGTTAATTCTTATTGATGCTATGGTATTTTATGTATTGCTCCTTATATGCTTCTATACTTAATCTTGGTGGGGTATATGGTATCCAGATTCCTTGTTATACAGTACTTAGGAAGTTACATCGAATGCGAGGATGCTTGACTTCAATACAAACTCAACGTTTTGTGAAGAATAAAGATGAAAGAAAATGAAATTGAAAAACTAAATTGCTATTATCTTAATTTACCGGCTCCATGAAGAAAGCATAAGAAGACAAAAGAGATACACGATAATTTTTCTGGAATATGGAATTTTTAATGCTAGTTCGGCATTCGTTGTGACTTGAGAGCTGAGCACCAAAGTTAATACGCTATAATGGTCTGCATTTAATTAACCATTCTCTTAAGCGTTAATATTACTTACCAGTGCTACCGAAACTTCAGAAGGCAATATTGCGATAGTGGAGAGCCCTTGGTTGGAAAAACTAGACTAGAGTCTGCTCTGACGATTCCATTCGGGGGTTTAGTGCTGCTGATATAACTCAGGCTTGCAAGCTACACAATAGACAGCATGATCTGGTTTCGGCGATGGAGAGCGAATTGGCCTCATGCTAGGAACTCCTGTTAAATACCTTGGGTTATAGCGGTGA